AGTTCAGACAATAATTTAAATTCTGCATGAATTTTATTACAACATCGAATAAAAAAAGTTAAATGATAAAAATGTGAAACTAACAAGGAAAAGACAAAATCAGGAATAGTTTGTCAAACTTTACTCTATCTATCTATCTATCTATCTATTTATATCCATGTTAATTGCAGAGAGTGAGTGAGTTCTAACAAGAAAATCAAATGTTGTTATGCAACATTAGACCTGAATACCCCATGACTTTATTTCAACTCAATCATAGCTCATTACAGTCTTAATGCTTGTCGTCCTTCTGTCATTTATCCAACGGATTTATTTGAATAACAAGACTATAAATGCTCACAGACAAAGACAGAATGTGCATGGAGGGAAAAAAAAGCACATCACTTTCTTCCTGAAACATTCCTGTAAGCATAAACGAATATCCTACAAAAACCACCAAGAGGTACTCTCGAACAAAATAGCACTTTGCTGACCCCTGTGTGTAAAAACTGGAAACCGAGCATGTGTGCGTATGCGTTTTCTCTGCCACTTTTCTGCCATATCCAAACAAAGTGCAGTAAGTAAAAAAATTTAAACTACAATCAGAGAGTAGCAGTGATCTACCACTTCATTACAGCGGGCACTGATTGAAACGGCTATCTTTAATGACCACTCCCGGCTAACGCACACACTTACAAGCCTAAACTGATGGTGTAATTAAATCAAGCTCGTTTATTTTTCCACATAGCAATCCTGATTGCAATCTTTAAATACAAACTACTCTCCCTTACTCCTATGTCTGTGCTTAAAGTACTTTTTATTCTTTATGTTGAGGAGCCACAGCGGTACAAACTCCATTTGTGACAGTGAGCATCCTGCTGTTATCTGTCATCACAGCAGATGATCCTCCTAATGGGACACCCAGAACACCTCCCATTGATTATAATGGATGCCTGTCTGTTGGCCAATGTTTCTCAGTGAGTTTCCACCTGAATTATTTAGTTCCGTATTACGGCAGCTGCTGTATTTAACTGTACGTTTTCAGCCCGCAGGTGCAGTCTGGATCTTTCCATCCTACTGACTTACAAGCCAACCATTGAGGCTTATGAATCATTTTAGACAAACTCGAAAAAGTATTTGAACAGTTAAGCCATATTTAAAAATGTATGAATGCACTGGCATTATATAACACAATATCAAACCAAGTCACATTTGTTTTAAAGAAATATAGCTCAAAAACACTGGCTCAAAAAATTAGTACCGGTATTACTTAAAAAGCATAATGTGTTTGCAGATGCGACTTAAATCTGCATAATACAATAACACTGATACATTTTTAATATGACTTGAGTGTTTAAATGTATTCAAATACTTCTGAAGCCACTGTGGTTATCAAACATAACAAGTGGCAATTATTGCGTACGAACAATTTTTGTGTAAAATTATTGTGTAAGAATAACTTTAGGGGCTGTTCACACAACACAAGATGCGTATTTGTGTTTAAAATGAGATATGCAGGGGGGTGGAGTTAAAAAAGTACAGTCTAAAGAAGGATTTAACAAAAAGAGTGCTGTGTCATGTGCGATACACAGCAAAAGACGTGAGATGCGAGCAAAACATGTCCGTCAACAATGCATCCTGTGTGAACGACCCCTCAGTATGATTGAGCTTGACAACAGGAAATCAAAACCGACTATTCACTTTCTTAATAAAATGTCTCTGGTCTAATTATGGATGATTCATCGGTGCATGCTGTTCTAGAAGAGTTTCCATGATCTCTCATCAAATGTATTACTTTTTCTGCCTCCAAAATTACTTTCATTTTTCTTACGTAACAAATGCCGCACGAGTGGGCTAAAATAATATTAACCAACAATATAATCGGCTGTCTGTTACAATCCAATCAAATGCCAACTTCTGATTCATTTGGAAATACACCCCATCACGGAAGACAAATGGTTTGCGAAAGAAGTTTCATGCTTTTCAAGGAACCCCAAAAAATGAAACTTCAGTCATCATTTTCTCACTCCCATGTTATAGCAAATGTTGAGTAAATGATGACTTTTGGATGAACAAATGTTTTCAGTTGTTTTCTTTGTGTGGTTGAAACATGTTAAGCTGCAGCAAAAACATGATGCTGTTGTTTCTCTCTGAACACATTTAATTGGTTTTTCCTGTGACTGAACTCATGAGTAGCTGAAGGAAACAATGCCAATATTACTGTCTCACTCGTATCCCTCCTCATTATCTCATCTCTATTCTGCTTTTGATCTTCTTATTCCATCATCACCCTCTCTCCCTTCCTCTCCCTCACTTTAACTGCCGTTTGTGCTTGTTTCCCATAAATTACCCTGTGGAGCACCCACACAGAAGTTCACATACACCATGATGGCCAACTCTCTGACTAACATCCCCCTGACCTCATCCCAGATGACTAGACATTAGGGGTGTGGGTAAAGAAACAGAGAGTGAAAGAAAGTCTTCTGTATTTGGTTAAGAATTTTTTTCTTTCTAAAGTATTACTTGGATGGGGTCATTTGTTCACCACTGAGAAAGAAACCAAAGTCATTATGAAACAGTTTGCATGTGTGTGTGTGTGTGTGTGTGTCTGACCAGCGGGAGAGTTTGAGAGTCGACAGACAAAGAGCATCTGTGTGACTGAGAAACATAGAGAAAGGAAGCTAGATAATGCGAGATTGAGAAAGTTTTACCTTGACGTGACTCTGTGCTCCAAGGTTGTATATTTCAGTGGGTTTGACTTCATTGATAATCTTTACCAAGCACGTGCTGTCAGTCAAGTCTCCATAGTGCAACTTCATGTCTATGAGGCACAGAATAAAAGAATGAATTTAATTTCCTGACAAAGCAATCTGATATATACAGTGGGTACGGAAAGTATTCAGACCCCCTTAAATTTTTCACTCTTTGTTATATTGCAGCCATTTGGTAAAATCATTTAAGTTGTTTTTTTTTCCTCATTAATGTACACACAGCACCCCATATTGACAGGAAAACACAGAATTGTTGACATTTTTGCAGATTTATTCAAAAAGAAAAGCTGAAATATCACATGGTCCTAAGTATTCCTAAGTTGCTGTGACACTCATATATTTAACTCAGGTGCTGTCCATTTCTTCTGATCATCCTTGAGATGGTTCTACACCTTCATTTGAGTCCAGCTGTGTTTGATTATACTGATTGGACTTGATTAGGAAAGCCACACACCTGTCTATAGCTGTGTCTCATTTAGAAGGCTGCACCCTCCGGAGGTCGCATCCTCTGAAGGATGCATATATGAAGTGTCCTCAACCTAGAATTAAACGAGACGGCCTTCGTAGGACAGGCGGAAAAGGAAACCGGAAGTATCAGGTTGCTATGCCAACACATTTAGAGCATCGTTGCGCTCTCACACTACTTAAATGAATGAAAATTATTTCTAAATTTGGAAAGTAATTTGAAAAAAAAAAGCTTTTACTTGTTATATTTTGTTCAATGTTTGAGGAGCTGCAGCGTACGTACAGCAGACATCTGTTAGAGAAAAAAAGGAGGAGGATATTAAAAACAAAGTTTATCCGTTTTTACCGAGGCGAATTAAGGTAAGTTGTAAACACCACATCTGCGCTTGTGTGTACGTTACATCTGCCGGCGCCGGCATTTTTCAAATTAACAACGGTTGTTCACGGCGACGCAAAGAATTGTGGGTTATCTGTAGCAGCGAAGGATACACCTCATGCATCCTCCGAATTCCTGTGAAAGAAGGTCGCA